TCTAGACCGGCCCTTGTTAAGCAGCGTTTTATAGCTGCACTTATTTCGTTTGAAATAAAAGGCAACAGGAACGGAGCCTTGTTTTCGCTAGAATTATCGCTCTGGGGCGTGGGATTTCCTCGATGCCTATCCTGAGAAGCTACAGTTTCGTAACCATTTGAAATGGCTATTTGCCGCGCCAGTTTCGAGGATTCTTCCCTCTGCTCTCTACCTGTGCACACGCTAGCGGCGGTTCGAAACATATTTCTTATAAGCGCTCTTTTAGTGTGTGAGGGGTGAGAGGAGCGGTAGTGAACCACTATATTCTTACTGCTTGGCTTTCGATACCATTTTGTGTTGTAGCCGTTCTCGGATAGGTTAATTTGAAGGTTTAGAAAAGGAAGCCAGTTTTCTTTCGGTTTCTCACGGGTGAATTTTATGTACTCTGACTGTTCATTCAATAACTTAAAGCATTTGTCCATCTCCTCTTGTGTGGAGCAGATGACAAAACAATCATCTATATACCTACAGTAGAGTAATGGCGTGAGATCGATTACTGGTGCTTCCACTTTAGACATAAAGGCAACGGCAAGGGTTGGTGCCAGTCGCTGTCCCATTGCCAACCCTCTAATTTGCGCATAATATTTCCCGGACCATCTGAAGATCGAGCAGTTTAAACAGACCTTCAGGAGGACCATAAGCTGCTGAATCGAAAAGCCATACATGTTAATTGCTCCTTCGTGTTTCTCAAGAAGCTCACGGATGGCTTGCATTGCGGAGTCGTTCGACACGTTAGTGTAAAGAGCGGTAACGTCGAACGGAATATCTCAGAATCAGTATATCTCAGAATTATATACGAGTTATATTCCACAACATACCCTGCCATTAGAAAGAAAAAGGCAGTAAATAAAAGAGTTAGGATTGTGATTATAACAAAGTTCTCAGCATTGATCTATCCCTCAATGATGAGCCATGCACTCAACTTCATTGAGCATCGTTAGAAGTGACTGAATGCATATTTGGCCTATAAAAATGACTCATGGTAGCCTAGCCTACCAATATATCGAGTCAGTGCTGCTCTCCTTCCATACAGATCTCGTACCAATTTGTCGACCCCAGAGGAATGGAAAGTTTGGTGAACTTGGGACGCGGGATCGGTCCCATGTGTATTGAAGTGCACCTATAAACACTGCGCTACACACGCCCCATTTTGTACCTAAAAGATTCTCAAAAATATCATTTGCGATATATTCTATACTGGATCGATAACCTATACCATTAACATGGCATTCAGCGGCGTACGAGAACAGCTATGTTTTACACACCAAAATTTGCAAAGAGAGGCTGTTATGGCAGGTTTATTCGTTTACGTGAGGCCTGGTGAGATCTCTTGCCTTTTGCGCCAACAGATTTACAATGAGATTGTTATCGACGAAGCAAGTACTAATTCTACGGTATGCAGATATAAAGTGTAACGGCCACAAAATCCTCACCACCGAATATTACAGGCCATCGTAATAGGGTCAAAAATTAGGACTAAATGCGATAGTGACAAATACGTGATAGTTTTGTTAATTTATGGCTGAAAATTCCCACCAAACGTGGTTGCCCGTGACCAATAAATGGTAAAATGAGTAATATTTGGATTGAATTTCTTTGATCTTATTCTTCACAGCCAATAATAAATTTTAAACTCTTCATAATGACATCTTTTCTGGCAGTGCATAAACACGCAAATACAATCCTTCCGTGGAACAGATGGAGTTCTTTGCCTGTTCTGGGAAAACCGATGATTTACACACAAGTGCTACAGGACACCCCGACGAGTTATCCTTGGCTATCTTCATCTTCTCGCCAATCAATGCGGAAATAAAGGGTATGATACCACAAGTGATCAGTAATGTTCGTTATACTTAATAATTAGGAGCACTGAAGGCGTTACAGATTAAGTTTGATCTCACAATCCAATTTGTCGGTTACCTGATTTCCACCACCATTAGTTGTGCTCACAGTTGAAGTGATATCTGGCGCAAACGAATAAGCTACTGGACCATCGGTCTGTATTTGAATCGGATATAACTGCATTCCTTGTTCTGCTGGAATGGTAGTAATGTTATTTTAGAAGAAAAATGGTGCTAAATCTACATACAGAATTGAGCCTTTGACCATCATTATTCGCTTTAGCAATAATTGATCGTAGATTCCCTAACCACAATGATGTTGAAATATGTGGAAAACTCGGGAGCGCAGGTGTCTGCAGCAGGGATCAAACAGGCTATTACCCTTTTCGGAGGTTAACGCGTTCACCACCACGGCATATGGATCCTTTGTTTCGCTTTCCTCTCAGCTAGTTTTCTATATACCAGTGCCAACAGCAATCACCCGTCAACGGCAGCAGATTTTCTGTTAAATGATGAGAACATGTAACGGGTTAGCTAAATAAATAAAGGACGCTATAAGTGATAGGAACCAGAAGAGTGCGTTATAGCACCCCCGCGGAAACGACTGCCAAATGGGGGCTACAAATTCATCATAAGAATTAAAATAAAGAACATAAAAATCCCTATTCTATTCTATTTTGTTATCATAAAAAGTAAATATGGCATTAAATGTATTATACTATACAACGTTGTCAAAATTTTTTTCAAACCATCGCTTGTGTTCTCACATGGAAACGGTTGTGCCTACAGATACCTCGAGGCAAACGAAAACTGTACGATAAGTAATGCATGGATCTGCCAAAAAATCTGAACCCACTTTCAATCGCCATATAGTGCTGTTTGCTGACTGGATCGACGTAAATCTGCATAGGTTGTTGTTGCAATGCCGTCACCGACATTCCACTAAGACCTCCAGAAATTACAACTGGAGTACTACTCGAGGACGTACTCTAAAACTCAATGAGGGTACTTGGTAATAATGTATTCAGCTATGGTGGATATCTTACACTCTACCATCCTTTTTTCTGAATTGTAAAAAAAATATCGGAATAACACTCTGTGCGCATTCAAGTGTACCTAAACCTTCCACGCAAAATGTTAAGGTTCAAATTCGAGCCAATAATAACTTCAAAGCAAACTACATACTTCTAGGATTCAACCATAATGATGCTGAGGTAGTTGTGAAACTCCGGACCGCAGGTTTCTGCGGTTGGAAACGAACACCCTATTACTCTTTACTGGGGCTAACGCGTTCACCACCACACCCTGCGGATTCTTTGTTTCTCCTTTCCCAATTCTAGGATTTATGAAAAACATCCATGCTTTGGATGTCAGTGATCCATAAAATAATGCAGAGAGAGTATTAAGTTCCTAACAGGAAGAATTTACCTGGTACGTATGTTCGGAACTACTTGTCGTCGTGGATGTAGTATGAGATGGACTGATGACTGGATGAGGTGAATAAACACGATTCACTGTCATATTTGAACGTGAAACTGAAAAACTCTCTTTCCGTTTCCTAAAAACTCCTTGAAAGAAGAACGCAGCGAGTTAGCCGCAAACTGGTGAAACCATTGTCTATTCCCGTCTCACTTGCTCCGCTCGGCGTGAAACTTCGTGAAGCAATACTTGCATTGGGAAATCCAGAATTCAATTTATGAGCCGCCCGATATCTGGAAACACTTTCTTGCTAGACTTTTACAATTTTTCAAGAGAAATGCTTACCTCTCAAGAAATAATTGCAATGGTGCCACGTAATTATCAAACCCCATATTCGTTATAGCATCAAGAAGATCGTCAGCACTTATTGTCTTCCTTTTCTCCTTAAAAAGCTCGTAATCATCATAAAACAAAGAAAATTAGAGCAAATTTAATACCTCTAATTCCAAATAAACAAATAAAGCGTATCATTCCCACAAGCTCATAAGTTTGTGGAGGAACGAGTTTAGAGCGTTAAAACAGTAACAACTCTCTACTCTCTCTACTTTACACAAGTGTCCGTGTGGAGTAGTGGTCGGAAGCGCCCTGCAATAAACACATGGGATCGACTTCCTCGCCGGTGGCTCACCAAGCCTTCCTTGCCCTCGGGGTCGGTAAAATTGCACCAGGCTTACCTAGGAAGATAGCAGCATTGACTCGATAGATCGGTAGGCCAGCGCGAGTCATTGTAAAGGCCAGAAATACATTCAATCACCTCCAACGACAGTTAATGAAGTCGAATGCATGACGCACCCTCAGGAATCGATCAACGCCGAGAGCTTTATCCTTTATTCTTTCATAAATTCAAATAAAGAAATGAAGCATAACACTCCTACAAGACCATGAGTTTGTGGAGGATCGAGTTTAAGGCGCTTAAAAAGTAACGACTCTACTTTACCACTCATAGAGGTAGTTTTATTATGAAGACTGAAAAGACTGAATACTACAAGCTCATCGACAGGAGAACCACCTAAGATGCCCTCAGTGAAACCACTGAGGGAAAAATACTTTTCACAAAGAAATCGTTTTGCTATAGAATCGAGAAATACGACTCACACTCAAACATTTGTCGTTAGCTTCACTTGTTATAAACGATATGAACTCCGAAACACATTCTTGAACACATTCCTTGGCATCTTTTGCTATTTTCCCGCTGCTAGGAATCATACGCTTCATAACTCGTGCAACGTTCGCTAAATTACGACGACCACAGCTTTAAAAGTGTCATGTTGAGAAGAATATCGAGGCTGTACTTGATAAAAAAAAAACGTTAAGAATCTTACGACCGACTTTCTATTAATCCCGGCATCGATAAAATAATTTTTTATATTATTATTGGGTAACGGGCGCGCATGGTCCGGTGGTTGGAGGAGCCCTGCGGTACCCATTGGGATCGATTCCCGCGCCCCTGGTTCACCAAGTTTTCCATCCTTCCGGTGTCAGCAAATTGGTACCAGTCTTGTCTGGGAGGATAACGGCACTGGTTCGATGTGGGCCATCACGAATCATTGTAAAGGCCAGATATGCATTCAATCACCTCCAACGATACTTAATTAAGTCGAATGCATGGCGCATCCCTAATGGATTGATCAACACCGAAGGCTTTGTCGCTTATTTATTTTATTTCATTCTTGTTGAGCAAACATGACGTACTACTCCGTTTTTTACTCACTCTAAAGAAGGCGAGATCCGCCGAAACGTCACCTTGATAGTAAATAAGGAATAAAGTAACATCTTGCGTTTGCTCAACAAGAACATATAAGGTTAAAAATTTTAGTCGTGAGATACATACCAATTGGTAGGAATCGTTCCTGATCAGGTATAGGATTATTGGACCGAGTGTCCGATGCCTCCTCATCACCATCTCCACGTTGGAAACGTATTTTCATACTTTCCTGCAATGAATTTTAATTCCGTCAGAAAGGTTCTGTGAGACTTCCTTCACATTTATTCAAAACAACGAATAGCATAAATACAAAGAGCATCGCTTTTAATGAAGCTCCCCTGGTTAGCTCACACAATAAATATCGTTTCTGCTTCCTAAACATTATGAAGATTTTGACTTTGAGAAAAAAAAGCCGTAGAAAAAAGGCTTTACTACGCCAAGCACTAGAAAAAGAAGAAAAGGGTCCATTTCATGGTACTCTTTGCCACTACTATGTTTATGTTTTTGCTTCCAACATCGCTTAAAGGTGTAAAAACGAAAACGATGAAAAATGATATCTTCAGAATACTTACTTCGATGGCTTGGGAAATAATGATGAATAAAGGTGGATAACGAATAACTTACTACTTACTTGGACTCTTGGATGGGCCGCATTCACTGGCTGTGCAACCTCCCAGCATAAATTCCATTTTTCGAACCTTTGATGGTTTAGTTGTCGTCGTTCCCTGGAGCCCCGAGGTCAGTTTAGCCAGAGTCTGCCCGAGGTCGTTATCACCACAGGCAATCGCAGCCTTTGTGGATCAGAAAGAGATTTGCCACCATGCAACTAGTTTGATATCAAGGTGGTGCTGGATCCTAATATTGCTTTACTCGAAGCTGGGATTCCCGATGGAAACACAGGAATCCTTCACAATTTGAGAGGCCCTGCTGGGGGATGAATTCCTCCGCTAGTAGTTCGACAACCAGGAGCACCTCCTAGCCACAATGAGGCGGTAAACCGTTAGGACGAAATAATGAATAATAATAATAGCAAATAGTAATAATAATTTTAACTTATTATTTACTGCCTACTCTTTTTTTGCTGACGGGTGATTGCTGCGGCAAAGATCGATAGAACTAGCTGAGAGACAGGTGAAACGAAGTACTCGCATGGTGTGGTGGTGACCACGTTACCCCCCGGAAAGGACAATGGCGCGTTCGTTCCCCACCGCATACACCTGCGGTCCGGAGTTTTGCAAGTACCTCAGCTTCATTGAAATAATAATAATGATAATAACAGTGATAGTAGAAGTACTTCAAGATATACCAACATTTCCAACTCCTATTTCAACGTCCTCCTCCATATTTTCGACGTCACGATCATCAGAGAAATGCACCATAAATTCCTTTCCATCATCATCGCTCATAATAACTGGGAGCTGAAACGGAGAACTCGACTATTTCTATGCTAACCAGCAAATAATGTAAAGCATAATTATTGAGAAAGTTATTAGAGACCAAATAAAGCATGACACTTGATACTTGATACTTGAACAGCCCGTCATCACTAGTTGTGCGGGCCCCAGCATAGTGGTTTTCTGGAATCCTGAGGATAGCCTGGCCAAAGTCTGTCCCACGTCGTTACCACGACAGGCAGTCGCAGCTCTTATGGATTAGAGAGATTTACCGCCATGCGACTTTGATACCAGGACGGTTTTGGATCCTAGTATTGGTTTACTTTTAGATAGGCTTCTTGATGGAAACACCGGACTCCTTCTCAGCTTAGGAGGCCCTGCCGGGGGACGAATCCCCTGCTGTACATCGCAGTCCAACACCCAGGAACACCTCTCAGCAACGATGAGGCGGTAAACCGTTGGGAGGAAGTATAATACTAAGCATCATTAAAGTTGAAAACAGTACAGACCTAAGAGGATATAAATGAAACAAGTTCTGGCCTACAAGCATATGAACTACCTTTTCTTTCGATTGCGTAAGTTCCCGAAAGAGTGAAACTTCGTTTATATTTACGCTATTGAGTAGATTATAAAATTTGTACCTAAAAAGGACCTGCGTGGTGTGGTGGGGAATGCGTTACTCCCCAGAAAGGACAATAGCGCGTTGGTTCTCCACCGGAGACACCTGCGGCCCGGAATTTTGCAAATATCTCAGCATCATTGAAATCATAACTTCATTGGAATTACAAGTGGTGTTTAATAAGTGGTATTTGCACACCTTGTTTTGTTCAATAACAGCCTAATTGGTTTTTTAAGGTTTCATGATCAGGTTCTCAATCAAGGATCCAATGGTAATGTACATGTATGGGTAGCATAAATGGTCGTCGTTGTTCTTAGAATATCCTTGCCATTTTGGCGTCCTCATTATGCTCATCTTATCCAACGGAGTCCTACCAAGGCTGACATAATGGTTTGACAATCTCACCAGAACCTTGCCCAGTTCACTTCGATTGGAGATGGTGATTATTTCTTGCTGGTGCATCTAAATCACACTTGAAACTGTATCCTGTAAATGGATTCTCTGGTAAGTAAATTCAGCTATACCATTGTGAATTCATATATAGGAGATTGGAAATTGCCCCCACAACAAGGTTCACCTCTACCCAGCTCTGACTTATGAGCGATATGAAAGGAGACTTTATTGTTGGCTACTAAAGTAACTTGATAAATATCGGAACTACGAAAGGTCGAGACATTCATATTCTACACGCCAAACTACCGAGGGTAAAGTAGTACGGAAAGTCAATGTGTGACAACCGATGGACAAGAACTATTACTGACTGAATTCTGTAGGATGTCAAACACATAATGAGAAGACCACCGAAACGATGATCAGAGTTCTTCACAAAACCACAGATGGAGCATATGATGCTCAATGAGTCCCTAGAGCGAGCAGAACTTACTAGGAAAGTACCGTATGCGAACTGAGAAATACCGTCAGTGCATTTGCTATAAAGGGAAAGGAATTGTATCTAGAACAAAAAAAGTGCTCACTACAGTACATTCTCGACGGGATATATATGAAAACGTAGGATCCAGTAGTGGTGAATCGCCATTCCAAACATTTCTGTGGTTCACAGCCAACTTCTCGGTACTTTTTTTTTACAAGACCCGACACCAAATGTAGCACAATGTGCGAATCCTGCAATTCCTGCAGTTGATTCGTCTCCTCATATCCATCATAGAGGAAAGTTCGCGACCTTTTTACTGCATGTGAGTTCGGCTGCTGATTGAGGATTTTTTTTCGTCCCAACATGAATGCCGTTGAATGCTGGTCGAGCCGACTCTCCCTGGAATTCTGAGATAGTCGTACTATGGCGTTTCTACGTCAATCAGAGGTAGTAAGCTCACCCCAGACAAGTCTGGTAGCAATTCCTCGAACTTTCAGGGATGAAAGGGTTGGTGGTCTTTGAGCAGAATCAAAACAGGGCCTAAGTAGTCTAAGCCGTCTTTCTGATAGACCTGATCATAACCACCGCATTTTCCACCTTCGTAATTTCAGTTCGTCCTTGGTCATTTTACGTCCACAAAATATTGAAGCGATACCTTTTTAACTGTTGTTCTTAAAAACCACTCAGACAACTAAAAGTCGTAGATCAAGAAGCCAAAATGAAAAAAGGTACCTTAAAAACAAACAGCTACCAAAGGATAAGTCCCAGAGTGTGATGTCTAGTCGAAAACTGAACGGAACACACATGTGACTCACTAGGGTGACTCATAAGCTTACAGATGTTGATGAATTTATCAAATTTCATGATGAAAGTCCCCACTATAAGAATAGTTTCTCTTCGACCAACATCAAATCAGATGTTGCCCTAGACAAAAAAAAACATTAATGCACTGTTAGATAGAAAACTAGCTGAGAGAAAGGCGAAACGAAGTAACGGCATCCTGTAGTGGTGAACGCGTTAGCCCTTGGAAAGGGTGTAATGAGCGGGTTCGATCCCCAAAAGGAGACACCTGCGGTCCTGGGCTTTGCAAATACCTCAGCAATATTGTGGTTGCATATTAATTAATGCATTTGTGACGATGCCGACTTATTCATCACTTCCAACAATTTTTCAGTGGCCATAGTACAACAGTTCCTAACAAAGTCATAACAACGAACTTTGCTATAGGGGTAATTTTTCCCCGATGATTTCAACTTTTTGCAAGACATATTTTCTAAATAATACTACCACTCTTTAACTATAACTTAAAGAAACGGATAGAACAGTGGTAATGATGCCGACCATCACGAGGACAGTACTGGTTCGATCTCATCTCAGGGTCACTAAGACTCCCATCGCGCCGCGGTTGGGATCACTCTACCATCCAATTAGGAACGCTCCAGCCCGGCTGTCTCAGGACTCCAGGAAAAATTGACTCGACCAGCATTCTACGACATTCAAGATGAAATGAAAATCCTCAAATAGCAGCCGAAGCCACACGTAAATGTTGAAAGATCTTCGTGGATAATGGATGCGAGGAAACGAATCGAATCTGAGAAGTGGTAATATCCGCACAGTAGACGTGAAAACGGGTCATATAAAATAAAATAATAAAAATTAAGACTTGAAAATACGCAATATAGGAATTAAAAATCTTTAATTCCATTACGACAATCGTCAATACTAAAACTAAAGTACCACACTTCGCCCTAGACGGAATCCCGCTTAGTCAGCTGCTCCAGAGCCGATATCACAATAAGTTTCTTTGATCTAATGCAATAAAAGCAACAGACAAAGATTTAAATGATTTCCAAAAGCTCAATTCAATCACAAATATGACAACATCGGAAAAGAAAAAAGAGAAAAAGAAAGAAGAAAAGGAAAAAAAAACGAACAATGCATCTTACAATGAAGAGAAATTACAACAAAGATTAGAAATATCTGTGCTAAAATAAACACGGATGAAATAAAGAAGTAGGTGTGTTGACTCACCTGAGCATATCCATCGTCAACAATCTCATGTCCAGACGGTGGTACTCGGGAATCTGACCGAGAAAATGGCACGGCTTGCATGTCAGCGTACGAATTACCATTGTCATCTATGTTCATCTACCAAAAAAAAAGATTACACACCCATAAGATCGTTGTAAATGCAAATAAAGGCTTCTTAAAGAATGACCAAACATAATGGGCGATGAAATAAAGTAATTATGTTAACCTCTTATTGGTTGCCTGCTATAATTTTTCACGGCAAAGTGTAATGCGAAATACAGCCACAATAATGCAGAGATATTTGCAGAACTTGGATACCAGGCCAGATTTGAAGTCGTGATTACCCTTTCCGGGGACTCACGTGTTGTCCACTGCACCGCTGAGGACCCTGCTATGAGTTTCTGTTAGCTAATTTTCTACCTAACGGTGCCATCGGCAATCACCCGTCAACGGCGTTGATCCGGGGAGTACAAATTGGCATTGGACCCAGTTGAATTAATTAAAGTAATTATTTCTGATATTAAAACATAGTGTCAATAATTCCAGTTCATTTCAACAAAGTTTCCGCAAAAAAACTGTATTATTCGCCAAGAGCAAACACTTTATTGTACGTATTGATATTCATTTGGATTCTTGGATGGCCCGTCTTCACTGGTTGTGCGCGCCCCAGTAATATTTCTATTTTTTCGGAGTCTTGTTAGTCTGCCTACTGTGGTTCCCTTGAGTTCCGAGCTCAGACTAGCCAAATTCTGCCCCGGGTCGTCACTACCACAGGCAGTTACCGCCCTTGCGGATCATAGAGAAATTTTCCACCAAGCGAATAGTTTGATGCCAGAAGAGTGGTAGACCCGGGTATTGGCTTACTCTTAGCAGGGCTTCCTGGTGGAAATGCCGGACCCCTTCTCAACTTGGGAGACCCTGCCCTGGATGAATCTCCCGCTGTAAATCGCAGTCCAACACCCAGGAACACCTTCTAGCCACGATGAGGAGGTAAACCGTCGGAAAAATTGTATGTATTGTTCAAACCAAATCGAAAAAGTATGGGGAATATTTAGAAGAAATCACACCACAGTACGTGAACATGACTAAACAGTGCAAACCTGACAATGCCTTGTCACCACACCAAAGACAATTATCTTGCTGCTGAGAAATAAGAAAGTAATCTAGCAAGACACGAACCAACCACTGTTTATCACTGCCCCTCCGACCCCAAGCCACACACCACATTCAAAGAGGTACCAATCTTTTAATTAAATCTTCTTTTACGATTAAAATGGATCTCATCCACATTATCTGCTCCCCGAAAATTAAATTTTGGTACCTTTGGCACCAATTTCTCATGGATAAGCTTTAATATCGTTATGCACAAGCGTTACTTCAGACCAACAGTTATCCTAGGCATTTCAAGAAAGTACATTAATAGAGTTTCACAATTAATAAAGAATACCTTCATCATGGAGGCGTGTGTGGCGCAGTGGTCAGAGGCGTCCTGCAACTCACATGTGGAATCGATCCCGGCGCCCATGACCCACCAAGCCTTGCATCCCCCCGGGGTCGGCAAATTAGTACTAAACTTATCTGGGACGACAGCAGCATTGGTTCGATACATCGGTAGGCCACCGGGAGTCATTGTAGAGGCCAGGTATGCATTCAATCTCCTCCGAACGATGGTTTATGAACTCGAGTGCATTGCGCATCCCTCAGGGAATTGATCAACGCCGACAGTTTTATCTTTTATACCTTCATCACATTTCGAAAAACACCATGTTTCAAGCTACTGTACATCATAATGCATTCTACTTAGAAAAAACCCTGCTAAATTGAGAATAAGGGCGTCGAACCATCAACTCCCTATCCGGGAATTTTATACGTGATAAAAAATAAAAGATAGAAGTTACCAAATCCAAATAAAAGGCATTTTTAATCGTAGAGTAATCCTTGCTGCAAGAACAGTTCTTTCGTATGCTTACTATATTCTAACAAATCGTTCATTCATCGATGTATAACATTCAGAACGGAACTAGCAACAAAGGAGGTAACAAGTGATAAACACCATCCATATCACATTGTTAAATTCGCCTTTCGGCACTTCTATGAAGGCATAAAGTAGACTAAAGCCTTAGCCCTTGGCAAAAGTGGCAAAACCTAGTAAATGAAAAAGACCTTACTACACATAAAACAAACTTCCGATGAAGTATCAGCTGTCAGACCAATAATATAACTTCAGCAGAATGAAGGACACTTGTAAAAATCACAGATTGTTCTATCATAACAACAACAAGACCCTTGCATGATTTAAATCCGTGGAAAAAAAGCCTACGCATATTAGTTATGCGAAATCATAGATATGAAGAACAGACATCCACTTCAACTGCTTTCATGATATTTGCAAAACGATGGAAAAGTGCAACCGTGCTTCTGAATAATCTCGCCGGCAGCATAGATGCCACATTTAATCGACTCTTCCAAGGTTTTGCATTGGATATATTGAGACAGGAAGCCTGCGAAAAAATTTTTCGTATCAATAAGCCATTCCATAACAATTTCAACATAAACAATGATATTTACATTTATACCCACCCAACGGTTTACCACCTCACTGTGGCTGGGATGTGCTCCCTCCTGCATGTTTGGCGGCAATGTACATTGGTAGGATGCATCCCACCAACAGGGCCTCCCAAGCTAAGTACGACGTTTCCAACAGGAAACCCAGCTAAGAATCTACCACTGTTATGGTATCCAACTACTCTCATGGTGAAAAATCTCCTCCTGATCCACAAAGGTGGCGACTTCCTGTGGTGATGGTGACTTGGGGCAGACTTTGGCTACGCTGACCTCAAAACTCCAAGGGACCACATTAGCTAAACCAGCACAACTCCGAAAAAAGGAAACTATGCTACGGCTCGCACAAGCAGTGAGGACGGGCCATCCAAGTATCCAAGTAAGTATTTACAGTTATATAAGTAACAAATGAAGAAAGCGAACCTCCAACGAACGCATCACCGGCTCCATTGGTGTCGACAATGTTCTCTTTTGGAATCTCCTCAACAGGATACATCGTAAGTTCAGCACCTACAGCAACAATAACAGGATCTGCACCTTGAGTAATCACAACAGTACGGGGTTTCGATGATGCCTACAAAAAAAAACAATTCCAATGACGGTGGTGGAAAATCGAAACATTTATTTGTACACAAAATAACGCACTATAATAAAGCATTCCCTACAAGCAACGTACTAAAAAAATAAAACCTTTTCCATGGCAGCAGCTTTCAAGGCGATCTCCTTCAAATCGGTTGTTTCTAAGCTTGCGGCCTAAATAGTTGTGATTCACTATTGATTCTAATGAAGTCACTTCAGCACTAAGAAAGCCACTACTGAAATGAAAAAGCATAAATCCAGCAGAATTTGCACACTGAATACTCAGGTGAACACTAAAGTGCTCTAACCCTAGTTGTTGCTCAAAAAAGGATTATAAGATTTATGCAGTACGGGTCTGAACTTGCGTCCTGGGCTCGCAAGTCTTCCATACCTACGGGATCGGAAAATTGGTAAGAGTCCGGTCTGGAAGGATAAAAACATCGATTCAACAAACTAGTAAGCCATTGCATTTCATTGTAGAGGCCAAATATGCAACCTATCTTCTCTAAGAGGCTTGAAGAAGTCGAATGCTTGGCGTATCCTTCAGGATTGGTCAACGTCCCTGCCAGTTGACTCATCATTACCCCACAAAATGAGTATTAGTGTCATAATTCAATAATTACCCACATTCAAGTGGAAATTAAATGTCGGAAAACAAAAACAAATAGAAGAAGATACTCATGGTCACAAATACGTCGCAAAACGTTTTATGAACCACCAGATCCACCAGATACAGTCAACAAAACGTACTTAACGACATGATTTACACATTAGGGAACTAGTAGCGCAGTGCCAGTCATGCCGTTCATCACGATCGCGGTGCTGGTACGATATCATACTGAGCTCACCAAGGCTTTCATCGCTCTGAGGTCAGGAATTCGTACAATACTTGGCTGACAACAGTTCATTACCAGCAATCCAAGTCGGATTTCTCTAACTCGCCTATCTCAGAACACCAGAGAGAACCACCTCGACCACCATTCAACGACATTTGTGAAGAAGACGATAGTTCTCAAGCAGCAGCCGAACCCACACGAGAAAAGTTGGAAGCCGTTAACTAATGATGGATGCGAAGCAAATGGAATACTGAGATTCGCACAGCAGATGTGAATACGAGTCGTGTAAAAATTTTTAAAAAAACACACATTTAAATACCTTAGCAAATGCAACTGCTTCATCTTCATTTCCGAAAAGTACATCCACATAGGGAAGCACTTCTTTTAGTGGCGTAAAGAAGAACTCAGAGATGAATGGTGCAGCCAAATTGAACAGAAAAGTCTAAACAGAAAGAAGCTATAGCACTAAAGCTGTAGACACAACATTAACAACCACATAGTAACCAGTTATGTTAACATCTGTCTAAAAAATCAGTAAAATCAAAGCTATGAAATAATAAAAATGCGCGCAAAAACCCATACCTTTCCGTGATCGAACGAATGTTTTGCAATGTGCATAATAGACTGAGGAGACACGGTCAGAAAGAAGCCCTGAAAACAAAAATAGTACTTGTTGTCAAAAACTTCATAAACCCCACACCCGTTTCTGTCGATTGTGAGAAAAACATGAAAGCGCGAATAAATTCTACAATACTAAGCTTTTTCAGTCGAGAGCGTGTAGGGTAGAGGTCAGAGGAGCCTTGCAATACACATGGAATCGATCCCGCGTCCCACGTTCACCAGGTCCTCCATCTCGCCGGGGTCGGCAAATTGACATCAGACGTATGGAATGGTAGCAGTGGTAGCAGCACTGACTCAATACCTCGGTAGGCCACTGTGAGTCATTGTAAAGGCCAGATATGCATCCAATCACCTCTAACGATGTTTAATGAAGCGAAATGCGTGGTGCATCCTTCTGGGATTCATCAACGTCCAAAACTTTGTCCTTTATCCTCTATGCTTTTCCCGTTAATATGTGTTATTACTTACAGCAATATAGTAGAATCTAGCGTTTCTTATGATTTCCTCACACTCCGGCTCATGCATGTGCTCTAGAGTAAATGTGTTGGCTGCAGCTAGATGAGCACATAGCGACCTAAAACTAAATAGTGAACCCAAAAAACTATGAAACAGGTATAAAATTAAGCACCTGTTCTGGCCATAGATTAGAGCAGCGCAAGTACCTGTTTTCACCGTCTCATTGATCTGGAAATTAAACATTAGTGCGAGAAACAAAGTACCAGGAACCTACAAATGATGAAAACCTACTCTCCTTTTAAATGGAAAAGATGTCCAAAAATAAAGACGGCACATTAATCGAAATCTTAACGGCTAAAGGGAAAACCTGATATTTAGCTACTACGCCAGCCTGCTTTGTTTTAGCACTCAACATCTCGCCAAATTTATCCTTGCCGATCGCACCAAAGAATGAAGCTCGATTAGGTACATTTAAAATCCACTGTAAAAACTTCGTATCGAACGCTAAAAGAGATACCAACCTGATATTTAGAAAAGAAATTATTAAAAGACAATGGATTCCACAAAGAACATTCCAGATGGAGTACCCGACCTGGCAAACCCGCATGGCGTTCTGAGTAGCTCCTCCCGGTATATATTCGACTTCGTAGTTCTCGACCAATTCGTCGAACCTTAAGTGATCTTACTATATATCCCATATAGATCTACTACTCCAATTCATTTATTTCAGTAATGTTAACGATCTGTAAAGATAAAGACAGTACTAAACTAACTAAGAAAGGGTCCAATAGTTAGTAAACCCACATCGCATTATGCTTTTCATCGCAAAGAATAGCATCGTTTTCCTTAAGACCCCACTTATCTAGGAAATCCTGAAAATTTTATGGATGAGAATCAAGAATTTTCGGCGAAAAATCAAATGTGTGTTCTGCAATTTTAAGACGACGTTCTATCCCACGAAAAGTTTGGTTGTTTCTGAAAATAAAAACGTGTAGAGCTTGTAGAGATCGTAGGACTTCGTTGATGAAAAACCGCGTATGTAAAGTAGAAGATTGGAACTCTATTGATTTACCTTGTCAACAGTGGTTTGAATATCAAGAAGAGGATTACCGCAACCGAGAAGGATTTGTTCCGGAAGGGTAGCCATGGATAGCAGTACCTGATCTACGTGCTAGAACCTTAGATATTTAAGCTAAAATCAATATATCGTACAAATTCAGTGCATCTGAAAACGAAGTAGGACTTCTGGTGGATTTGGAGGTGCATCAACAACACCTACGATTGAAAGCGATGCTACTTAGACATCTTCGTTTCAATGTAGAAAAAAGCTTAGGATGACCAGATGAGGTGGATGAGGGTGAAAGACATAACTTCCAAAAAACTTCGTGCTAAAAACGATCAATACGGGAGCATTCCAACACTGACATTATCTACTACGCGTCGGTGTATCGAAAGCGTCAAAGTCTAAGGTCACTGACCGATAAGTAGTTATCAGTTGATTTCATATCAACATTTGTTTGGGCTACATAGAGGAAATTTGCCTTGTTCTGATAGAAAAATCATAGTAGATTATGACCCATAAACCACACTTTTTAGAAAAGCGCACAGTTCCTAACGCTTGTGAAACGATCCACGAGGACTATGGAGAATTTCTATCCATCTTTAAAGGACGGATTTACAGTACACTCGTCCATTTTCGTTCCTAAAAGGGAGTTAGCGGCCTAAGCTCACGTAAAACATCGGGCTAAAATCTCACTAAAACGGGCGAAGAAGTCCCCGCTGGTTATCCTGCACCTGTATCACCTGTAGTCCCGTTGATCGTCGAGTGAATCGAGCGGGCGTCAGTAAATCTTCCATTTTTCCCTATCGCGTGCAAGAGTAGCCCAGTGGGTTTTGCCCGCTCTAGAGACTTGCCGAGCATCATATCTTTCTTCTAGGCTCTTTGTGAAGAACTCTGACTATCGAGTCGGTGTCTTCCTGCAGTGCGTTTAACATCCCGAGTAATCCAGTCACTAACGGCTCTTGTCCATCGGTTGTCATTCATACGCATTACGTGTCCGGCCCACCTTATCTTCGACTGCCTGGCGTATAAAACGGCATCTTTGATTTTTGATCGTTGACGTAGATCGGAGCTTCGGATCCCATCCCTTACTTGTGTGAAACGGTGATACTCCTAGCATCGTCCTTTCGACTGTGCGTTCGATAACGCTGAGTGATCCTTCGTCCTCCTTACGCATTGACCAGGTTTCTGACGCATACGTTAGGGCAGGAAGTACCATTGAGTCGAAAAGGTGGGCACGGAGTCGGGTGTTCTTTGTTCTCTTGACTACATCCTCGATGCTCTTGAAAGCTCCCTAAGCCGCTCGGTTCCTTCTGCTCGACTCTGGAGCTAGGTCTTTCCCGACCTAGATAGATATAACTGGAGCATTCGGAGATATTCGTACCGTTGAGCGTGAATGGGGCATGCGAAATCAATCCATTCTTCATAAACATCATTTTTATGAGGTTTAGTCGAAAATCAATCTTTCCACAGGCTTTCCTCCTGGCTTGTGTTGGGTGTTATAAGGACGATGTCATCAGCAAAGCGAAGATGGTGTAACTGCCGACCATCGATTTTCACTCCCATATTATCCCATTCCAATGTTCGCATGACGTTGGAGGGTGGCGGTAAATAATTTTGAAGAGATGGTATCACCTTAACTAACCCCTCTTTCGACGTTGATGTTTATATCGCTGTACAATGATGATATCTCGGTTGTAAAATTTTTGTACAGCTCACAAGGAATCTTTATGTACTGAGTAGGGACTCTTTGACTATCAAGGGCTTCCAGGAGGGCTTCTATCTGAATTGAATCAAAGGCCTTCTTTAAATCGATGAAAGTGAGACAGAGCGGTCCTTTGTACTCTCGCGATACTTCAATGAGCTGTGTTACCGTGTGGATATGATCCATCGTACTAAATCTTTTTCGAAACCCTTTCTGCTCACATGGCTGTCCTTCGTCTAGTGTTCTGTCAATCCTGTTTAGTCAATCGAGTGAAAAGTTTGTAGACAACAGACAGTAAGCACATAGGGCGATAGTTGCCAATATTGTGTAGGTCACTCTCCTTGAACAATAACACGCTCTTGCTGGTCTCCACTGAGTAGGGACCTTGGATTCAGACAGGTAACGTGTGAAGAGCCGAGGCAGTGTGTTTACGAGGACTGGCGGAAGGTTCTCCAGGTGTTCTGGCCTTATCCTGTCCAGATCTAGTGCTGTTTGATTTTACACCGACGAAATGGCATGTCGGATTTCGGAAAGGAGAACCGGTGGTACAATATATCCATCCTCCTTTATTTCATATGACGGAACGTGGACGTGGCTATCGAAGAGATCTGAGTAGTATTCGTGAATGATTTTCTCCATTGCCTTTCCGGACGCTTTAACTGTTCCGTCTTGGTGCCGGAGAACAATCATCTTGGTCTTGTAATTGGAGAAGCTTCGGTGGGCTTTGCGAATGCTTTTCCCAGTTTCTGCAGCTTCGACCGTTACTGTTGCTCTTCTCTCTTTAAGATCTTCTTTTATCGCCTGGCTGCAATGTTTTGCATGTTCGGGCGGTAGTTCGCGGTTGCGTGCAGCTCGTGCGATTCCACGCTGCCCTATCAGCTCGAGTGTTTCTGCTTACAGAAGTCTCTTGGTGACTTTCGAACTCTCAGCTTTCATAGCGCTAATATGCAAATGATGAATGAGCCAATCGTGCTCTTCGTCGATGTTATCGACTTCGGCATCTTTCTAACAGCCGACTAATGAATTGAATAAGCTCAGTTTACGGAATTGCGAGTTACCATGGATTGTCTTGGTCGCTATGATAAATTCAGACAGCCGCCCACTCTGTTCGTTCTATTCTAATTCATGGGTTCCAATGTGACGTCCTTCGGACGTTCTCCTTGGTCCAGTCTTGGTGTTTAACTCTCCAGTGATGACCTTGAAGAATATGTGGTCTTCTCCGTAGAACTTCACCAAGTCCATATAGAACGCTTCGACTTCTTCCTCGTCATAGTCTGATGTCCACGCGTAAACGACGAAGATTGTCAAAGCCGGAAGTGATCTATGTCTTTTTAATGATAAACGTCCGATTCGGGTTGTAAGTTGTTCGAATGAATCGATGTTTATGGACAAACTCGTGTTAACGAGAACGCCAACGCCGCCGACTCCTCTATTGTCGCATGTTCCGGGGAACGGTTCTTCTCCGGTGTCATATAGAGCGTAGAATGGGTGGTGTCGGCTTTTCTCGGCCACGCCGATGACGTCGTACCTTATCTTTCTTGCTTGCATGAGCAAGTCTTCTCTTGAGGACTCGGATGCAAGTGTGTGTACATTGTAGGTACAGATCGTCACCATAGTTCTTCGAAATCCAGGCAGCTTCCATTGGCCCTGAGATTTTAGTAGCCTCTCCGTAGTCGTCCTACCCAATGGTGCGGAATTGGGGCTCTTTCGGGGTCAGCGGAATGAGGCCCGTTTTTTTTTACTGTGTTTAGCATTTTTGATACCCACATATAGCTTGCTGTGCTCTGAACGTGGGGGCTGGGTATACTTACGGGTAGCTCGCCAGGCTCTCTCAGAGTGGACATGGAGCTTATTTGTTGGAGACAACGCCTAACCGCCTCCCATACACTTCCTTGTAACTTGATTGCAAGTTTTTGGCCGAATTAACTCGTAGAATACAATCTGCATAAGCGAGAACACGCGCGCACGCGCGTGCATGAATACGCCTCATAAAACAGAAAGTATGTGCGAAATCGGCGAAGCAGAAACAAGGAATCCATCCGCTGGATCTGTCTGCTTCTCAGGGAAATATAGAGTCGCTTTTGGTCTTCGAATAACCCCTTATCCGCCATCTAGGGACGCGCCACGTGGCCTCGCGACTAACCGGATTGAGATCCCTCATGTGAAGGAGGTCCGTGGTCCTGCACAGAGGATAAGATTCCAGGAAAATGGATTTGAGCGGGGATTACCTAGCTAAAAATGAGGTCTCTTCCTAATGGCTTATCGCTTCATCCTAGCTAGGAGGTGTTCTTGGGATTCGGGCGGCAATGTACAGCAGGGGTATTCCTCCTCCCTGCAGGGTCTCCTAAGTTGAGAAGGAGTCTGGCGTCTCCATCAGTTAACCCAGCTAAGAGTAAACCAATACCAGGATCCAACACCGTCTTGGTGCAAAGCACGTTGCATGATGGTAAATCTCCGTCTGGTGCACAAGGGCTGCGACTGCCTGTCGTGATAACGACCTGGGGCAGACTTTGGCCGCGCTGACCTCGGGACCCCACAGAACCACAAACCAGCAGAACTCCGAAAAATGGAAATTTTATTGGGCCTGCATAATTAGCGAGGACGGGCAGCCCCAGTATTCAAGTAAAAATTGGTGATCAAGAAACTATAGATCTATTTAAAGGATGATAAAGAGAAACGTCGTGGGTTGGAGTAACACTACTGGCTTTACCTAGAAGGAAAGGACTATTCATGAAGAAGAGACCATCTACTTTTTTCCCTTTTATAATTTTCTAATCTTAGATCAAGTTGCCCTATCTTAATTTGTTCTTTCAAAAACACTACCGCTTCTTACAGAATGTGAGGGAAATTTCTCTTAGAAACTAACATTATTCATTTATATCATATTCTTAACATCAAGGACAAAACCCAATATTACGGGGTTACTTTATGTTATTAGTACTAATATTATGTTTGGCCTTCTTCTCATCCACATGAATAGAGAGTTGGGATAGTTGCTGTATAAAAGGTGTCAACCAGACGTTAGCGATTCCAGGAATTCCAAACGACCTTGGGTTTTTTTTGGTGACCTATAGAGAAAAAAGAAGGAAAACTTCAGTATCGTTTTGAGATTACTCCAGAATAACAGTATCATCGATGCAGACGGGTGTGCTCAACAGAGCGACACCTTACTGAGACTCTCTGATGTCGTCTGCAAAAAAAAATTAGCCTGAACGTGGATGAAGAAGAAATGGTAGTAAAAAACGATTACTGGCAGATAAAGGACATCCGATTCAATGGTTAGACAACATCCTGTGAATATGTTTCAGCCAAGCAGAGCGATTATTGTTCGATACTGGCCGTGTTCGTTGGAGGACTAGTCACCGACTATAGCATTGTTCGAAGTTGTTATTTCAAAATGATCGTGACCTGGCCTCCACAATCAGTGGCGGCCTACCGATGTATCGAGCCTGTGGCTATCCACCCAGACAGGTCTAGTACCAATTTACCAACCCCGGAGAGATGGAAGACTTAGTAAGCCTGTGGAGCGGGGTCGAATCTGTGTGTATTGCAGCGTACCTCTGACCACTGCGTTAAACATATATAACTTTGGTGAAATGCAATCCCAGTCTTCTGATTTTAATGGTCATAGTTATCTATAGCATATTTACAACACAAATCAGCCAGTTAATTCTCGTTGTTTAGAGCACTAACAACTACGAAACAAGGAAGCAACCGAACATCGTTTTCGACTTGTCGTTTCTCCGTTGATGTCCTTGTATCACAGGTTTTTTTGCTACTTTGAAATTCAGAATAAGTAAAAGTAAAAAGGAACTCTTAACAATGCGATAAATGGAGCAGATTTTCTGTGCAAAGCAGAAATTATTTTGTGAGTCATCTACGTGGTGTGCGGACGTATGAATCTTCCGGAGACAAAAAGTTGTATTCTTTCTTTGACAAGCTTACACGAGGTTGATAAACAGTTTTATTCAGCTAACGCTCCGACGTCCTCGTCTTTATCAGAGCCGATGATCCCAGTCAATAGCCCACGGTTCTTCTTGGCCTCAATGTGCCGTCTTCGCCTTCGTATGGAGCAGTGTCCTCCTCAGCTGACCATCTCTCAAATGAGACATGATCACTTTGTGATGCCCTTCTATGCAGGATGCTGATGGTTGATTGGTAGTGACTGTGCGGGGATAAAAACATAACAAAAAGGAGTGTTGTATTTTCGATGCTGGTCTACAATGAGGTCATCCGGTTTCTGAAGTTGAGTAGCTCAGAAGCTGGAGCCACGATGGAACCGTGTGGAAAGAGTTATCGTATAAGAATCTGCTACAAAAACCACATCGGCAGCAAAAGTTTTGTAATCAGAAGCATGCTTGCAGCCTGTGTGAAAACAATTCTTTTCGTAGCAACAGCTCATTCACAGAGATATCGGATCTGGAGCACCAAACTAGTAACTGCTTCCAGTAAAATCTTGCAATGAAAATAAAATAGCAGTGCTTTGCAAACACTAATATTATTCGAAAAGCTGATGAGGAATCTATTCCGTATAAACTTTTCCATGCCCAGGAGCATTTAACATTTAGACGTTTGATAGTAGTCAACACCACATGGCTGCAACATCCGCTCTGTGCAACTATTCTAAGCATAAAACTTTCTAGTTAATGGCGCTTTGAAATACAATGGTATTCATAATAATGCCGAGATATTTGCAAAACTCCAGACCGCAGGTGTCTGCGGTGGCGAACGAGCGCGCCATTGCCCTTTCCGGGGCGAACACGTTCACCGCAACGCCATGCGGGTCCTCCGTTTGACTTTTCTCTCAGTTATTTTTTGTATCTTGCATTATTATAAATTTTTAGAAGGCCGATTCAATGCTCTTTCTAACCATTTTTGTACCATGTCAGAAGATAATTTTTCTTATCTGTTTTGAGCATTGCAATTTTAGATGTCAAAAGAGAATTTTAGTCAAATTCTTTTTATGAGTTCAACCTCGGTCGTAACGCAGCAGAGACGGCTCGAATCAGTAACGAAGTTTGGGGTGAAGGTAGTGTTGGTGATTCAAATGTGAAAACATGGTTCGCGAAATTCCCCATCTGGTGATTTCCACCTCGAACATGAGGAAGGCCACGGACGTCCCATTGAACTTGACGACGACGAATTGAAGGAACTAGTGGAAGCAAACACGCAAACAACTGTTCGGGAGTTTGCGGATCAGCTTGTGTAAGCACAGGAACAATTTCCACTCACCTGAATAGTATAGAAAAGACAAAAAACTCGACAAGTGGGTGCCGCACAAATTGAAAGATGAATTTTAAAAAATTGCCGTTCTGAAGTGTTGTCTGCTCTTATTTTGCGCAACAAAACGATCCTTTTCTTGATTGAATTGTGTCACGCGACGAGAAGTGGATTCCGTACGACAACCGGCGACGTTCAGCTCAATGCTTGGATTGCGATCAGGCTCCATAGCACTTCACAAAGCCGAAATTCCACCGAGAAAGTCCATGGTGACTGTTTGGTGATCTGCAAACGGGCTGATTCATCACAGCTTTTTGAATCCGGGCGAAATGTTTACGGCAGAGAAGTATTGCCAACAAATCGACAAAATGTACCGTAAACTCCAACAAAACGACCAGAAACGGTCAACAGATAAAGACCAGTCCTTCTTCACGGCAACGACTGCTCTCACGTTGCGGAACAAGCGCTGGAAAATTTGATCGAGTTAGACTACAAAACTTTGCCTCATCCGCCATATTCACCAGAACTTCCTGGCGAGAAATGCTTCACCAACCACGATGACGCAAAACAATGCCTTCAACGAATTCATCGCTTCCAAAACTTCAAAATTTTATGCAATTGGAATGCTTTTGCTTTTGGAAAACTTGCTTTGGAAAAAAATTTTTTTGGAAAAAAAACTTGCTTTTCGTTGAAAAAAATATGTAGATTAAAAGGGTTTTATTTTAATCAATAAAGTTTATGTTTGAAGGAAGCTATTACATTTTAAACAATATAGCTAAAACGCTTATTTATTTCGACAGCTTCATAACCCCAACAGAAACCCCATTTACCAAAAAGTTCAATGGCGTTGAGAACAAAATATTTTAAAGGTTAAAGAAAAGTCGTTTTTGAAATATTGTTGACCTGTTTGCTAGCTGATAATAGTAACAACTTCTGCAGGATTGATTGATCGGGAAAAACAGGTTACTATCACCCGACAATCATTACTATTAACCATCAACATCGTGCATAAAAGGGCACCACCGAGTGGTTGTGCTTCATTAGAGAGATGGACCGCTGAGGAAGACAGAACTCGATACGGAGGCGAAGGCCCACATCGAGACGAAGTAGAACCGTGGACTATCGATTGGGATCATCGGCTCTGATGGAGACAAAGACGTCGAAACGTTAAGCGAATAAGAAATATTTATCAGCATCGTGTAGGTCTACCAAAGAAGAATTACAAAATATTTTCTTCAGAACCTCCATTGTTTCACTTTCCCTCCTTACATTCTCTACGGATCAAGAAAAAAGTGCCTTGGTCACCGAAGATTCGGTCTACCTCGTCCAGAGAATGATTTCATTTACAGTAAGCGATTGAAAGAAAACTGACATCGACCTCGATGAATTTTAGC